TAGAATTCCACAACAAATCAAATTCATCATTTGTCATAGAAATTTTATTTTTATTGGCATCTACAATAAAGCAGGTCATTTTACTTAATAGATAATGAAATTATTTCTTTAAGTATATTTGTAAATTCTCTATGCTATGATGCTATAATGTCCGTAAGGTAAAGAGTTTATACTGTCTATGTAAAAGCGTTTATTCTCATAGGCACTGAGCGATTGTTTTGTTTGTTGTATGCTGTATATTTGATGGGTTTTACTTCTTATGCTGTTGAATGTTATAGTGTCGCAATTATTGTTTTTGAGTGTGTCATCATAAGAATTATATGACAGTTCCTTCTTCACTTTATGTTTAACTATTCCTTTGCTCTTCTTTTCTTCTTTCTCTTCGTTATGTATCTTGAAACAGTATGATTTAGGTTTCAATGCTATAAAGTTTGTTATGATCTTTCCATCTGCTTCATCCTTGAATTTTCCTAAAACTTTCTTGTTTGTTTTATCATAACATTTGTGTTTAGGGTCATAACCACTGAAATCCATATAATCCTTAATGTCATTAAAGTCATCATATACATCTTCGGTTTTAATATGTAATACAAAACTGTCAGTATCAGTATATAACATTCTGATATTATTTTTATATTTCGGTTTCATAATGTCATAGTAAAATGAATACATATGTTGTTTTGATAAATCTAAAATACTCATTCCTACATATATTGGTTTATTCAATTTAACTACACTTTTTGCTTTTTCAACTCCTATAAGATTTTCATTGATGATATGTCTGTATTTGAAATTTGGATTATTCACACATTTTTGGTAGCGTTCAGGTGTATCAACCAGCTCAAAGTCAATGTGTTCTCTCACATTTTCCATAGTCTTGCCGTATACAGCGTTGTTCATTAATTTGTACATATCTTTTGAAAAGTCGCTTGTAGCGTTCTTTCGCTTCTCTGTGTTAAAGTCAATCCACGGTTTCAACCATTGCTTGTGTCTAAATTCTATTACTCTGTTTATTTTCTTGATTTTAAGTCCTTGTTTTAAATAGAATTTTAAAATGTCAATATGTAAAACATAATTTTGTTTATCCATAACATTTAGTATCAACTTGTTTGTTTTCTCATCTTTTGGAGCATGATTAAAATGATATGCTTTGTAGGTTTCTTTCTGATAATCACTAAGCATATCTGCTGATACACTCATAATTTCTGGTGCTAATGGGTAATCAGTATGTTTGTCGTGGCATTCTTTCGGATATTCTAAATCAACATCTAAAATATATCCTTTGCTACTGTAATCACTATTGTAATATTTAATGTCTTCTTCTGTAAAATTATCTTTAACAAATTTAATATTTTTGTATGGTAGTTTTTTACACATTGCTAATCCATAAAGATTATTAGCATCTAAATAATTGATATAGGACGTTGGTTTTGTTTCATCATAAGTATCTCCCATATACTTATTATTAGCAGTTGCTTTTCTCATTGAAACCTGACACATACCACCTCTTAGTCCTTGCTCTATCATTTTATAAACTTCTTTATCGTGTAAAAGTTCAAGTTCAATTCCTGTTTTTAATAGCATCGCGTCCCAAGCAAAGTTAGGCAATGTGTAACAATGAGCTGGGTCTAATTCATAACCTGTTAGACATTGTTTTCTGAAATTCTCATATACATCGGTTAATAATAATACATCGGTTTCTAAATATAAATCATGATATTCACCAAGGTTTTTGATGTTAAAGTGCTTCCATATTAGTTTTGCTCTTTCATAGTCAGCATTGCTTATATCTTCTTCACTTAATCTACTATAAAAATGTTTCTTTTCTGGTAGTTCAGTGTCATTAAATTTATTGAAGTCATTACAATAATCATAAGGATAAACTCCCTTTTTCTGTCAGTAAAAAAAATCTTTTTCATTTTTTTATGTATTTGCCTTTGAAACTGTAATTGAAATGATCCTGCCAGTTGTCCCTCAATTTATTCTCTTCATATTTTGTTAATTTAACAAGTTTATCTAATGATGATGACAAGAAACTGAAACTATCCTTAAATTCAAGTCTGTTTAATGAAAATGCAATAAACTTCTCACTGTTCTGTGCTATTACTGATATGCTTTTCTTTGTATTTAGCTTTTCAAGATTAGAAATTATTAGGTGAGCATCATAGTTTTTAAGATTGTGAAAGAATACTGGTATATGATATTTTTTAAAACAATAGTCTATATTGCATTTCATATGTGCCGCTCCTCTGTATAATCCAGTAAAGTGGCAATGGTCAGCAACTTTCTTTTTCGCTTCTACTCTATTGTCAAAAGCGCGGTTGCATAAGAAACACTTTTTAGCTTCTAAATGTTTAATTTCATCTAAATCTGTCATATTAATATCTTTTGATTCTTTCATTTGTTCCATAACATCATCTCTAATATTGTTTAAGTTTTCACAAAACTTATCCATACAATCTTCGCCTCTGTATAAATACGGTGTCATTTCTCCACTATAAGCATTAACAAGGTTAAGCATATAACCGCTGGGTTTATGGTTCTGATAAGTCCCTTTGATGCCTTCTGATGTTTCTGTTGTTAAACATTCAAAATCACCGTAAATAACAAATGGCGCTTTCAGTTTCTTAAAATGCTTTTCAAACTTCATTGATGTTCCTTCTTTTGGCATTTTTGTTTGTTGAATGTCATTTGCCATACAACCTTTTATTAAGTGAGAATTTAAAAGTTTTTCTGACTTGAAACCGTGCTGACAAAAACTACAAAAACATTTTATTAGTTGTTTTGTTTGTTTGTCTTCCTGCTAATCTACTAAAATCTTTTATTAAAACATAGTGATCGTTATTATTTTGTTCAATCCGCAATAAGTTAATATGACAAGATGGTCTTTCAATTTTTGTTATTCTGTCTGCTCTGATGGTTTGGTTCACATCTTCAACATAAACATTAACTGATATAGATTTGTTATTGATTTCTTCAAAATGGTCTATGTCATCGTTGGATGCTGGAAAATTTACACCATCCCATTGAATTAGACTTTCAGTAGTTATTAATTTCTTGTAGTGTCTCATATGTTGTGGATGGTCTTTCTTGAAGACTTCATAAAATTTACATAAAACACAATATTTAAAACATAATTCATCATCATTTTGAATGTTGATACATGCTTTTTTCTTTGAAATCCATTCTGGTAGTTCCATATATCTTCCTGCTCTGTTCGGATTGTATTTGTCGTAGTGAATGGTGGTTTTGTTAATCTTATTAATTTTCAATCCTGAATGTTTCAAAGGTGAGTTTTCAATTTGTAGTTCAATATCTTTAGGTATATTTTCCAATGCTTTTTTTAAGTCTCCTACATTTAGAATGTTGTATCTCCTACTCCTCATATTGTGCTTTATTTGTATATTTTCCTCAGTTGGTTCATCTTCTCCATCATCCTCTTCTTGCTGTCTAACTTTATCAAAAATAACCTCAACATCAATCAGTAGTTTCATTGACTTTGCTTGTTGTACAAACTCTGTTAGTTTCTTTTCTTGCCATAAAAGATATGTTAATCCGTTGTATCCCTTGAATGGTATGTTGGATATTGAATATGTGTTGGCATATCCTTTCAATGCCGAAAATGTCTCTGATGTTTTTGCTCCTATTTTTAATCTGTATTTCTGGATTGTTTTAATGCCTCTCATTGTGTTTGATGCTTTTTTTAGAAGATGAAATCGTTTGAAACCTTGTGTGTTGCTTACTTGATTGAGTTTGTTTTGAAGTGATGAGGATAATGGTTTGTCTTTGTTGTAGTAGTATTCTTTGTTGTTGATGATTAGTTTTTTCAATGGTTTGTTATTCTTCCCTGTTTTTATGGTTGCTTCATTATTGGATAACAAATAGTCAATTACTGAGCCCGTGCTGTATTCCCCTGCCATTTCTCTATACTATATAAGGTATTTTCTCTTTAAGTCTTTTTGGGGGCGGGTTGCTGGTGCGGGGTCGGGTTGGCGAAGGTGAGAACATAGACAACAACCCCTTGACAACATAGAAAACAACCTGTTGACAACATAGAAAACAACCTGTTGACAACATAGAAAACTACCTGTTGACAACATAGACAACTACCTGTTGACAACATAGAAAACTACCTGACAAATATTAGTGTGTCAATCCCAACCCTCTATCCCTCAGAAAGCTTAAAAATTGTCTGAAACCCAAACCTTGAAAATGTCAATATCTTAGGCCGGTCTTAAATGAAAAAAATGTAAAAAACAAATGTTGAGAAATGACCCTTGAAAATGTTTAAAGAAAAGACCCCTTAATATAGTAGGAATAAATGACCGACGAAATGAAACAATGCTCTAAATGTAAAATGAAAAGGACACTTGATAATTTTGAGAACGAAAATAAAAACTGTAATATTTGTTTAGAAGCAAGACGAAGATATAGACAAAAACATAATGATAAGGTAAGTCAATACAATAAAGAATATTACAAAGAACATAAAACTGAACTATTAACCAAGGCAAAAGAAAAGCGGGATGACGAATATGTAGATTGTTTCTATTGTAATGATATAGTAAAGAAATATGATATAGACAGACATGTTAAAAGTTTAAAACATATTTCAAATATGGAAAGAATACATAATAACACTGACGCATAATAATTTGTTTATTCATATTAACAACTTATATAATATGATTAAACACTTGTGTCCCCTAGAAAGCTTAAAAATTGTCTGAAACCTGAACCTTGAAAATGTCAATATCTTAGACTGTTTCATAATGAAAAAAATGTAAAAAACACATATTGAGAAAATTTAGAAAAAATCCCCAGAACCAATACTTAGGTTTTGAACAAAATGTTAGACTGCTTGAAAACTAACCCTGCCCCTGAAACTGAAAACTGAAAATTCCCTGCCTTAGAATCAATCTTTTACTAATTTTTCCCCCACCCCCCTTTGTGCCGCATGCCCAGCACCAGCGGATGCAGTTCGGAGCTAAGGATCAGGCCTTCAGGTTCCATGGCGAAGAAGCGGCTGGCGGTTCGCCAAACTGTGTCCGCGTCCTGCAAGTCTAAGGCATCGAACATATTGAACCATTGACTGCCCTCTAAAACTTTGGATAGGCAAATGGCAAGAACCGGCGGTTCTTAAGCGTCCTTGGATCCAGCAGGACGCTATCATCAACCATCTACCATCAAGGGTGCAACATATTGGGTTGACGGGGGGGGTTGGCCCGGGGTGGGGTGGGGTGGGGTGGGGTGGGGTGGGATGGGGTGGGGATGATAGCGTTCATGAGAGGAGAGGCGACCGCTCTTTGGGGTGGGGTGGGGTGGGGTGGGGACGATAGCGTTCATGAGATGACAGGTGACCGCTCTTTGGGGTGGGGTGGGGTGGGGTGGGGTGGGGTGGGGTGGGGTGGGGTGGGGTGGGGTGGGGTGGGGTGGGGTGGGGTGGGGATGATAGCGCTCATGAGATGAGAGGTGACCGCTCTTGGGGTGGGGTGGGGTGGGGACGATAGCGTTCATGTTCGGCCGGGGTGATGTAATGCAGGATTGCTTTGTAACGTGCTCGCACCTTCTTGAGTGCTCATGCAGATGGAGTCTGCAGGTTTAGCTTTGGTCATACTACTTCGTTTGGCAAAGGTATCGACCATTCCGTTCTTGCGAAAGTGGTGGCATGAAGATGTGCGGTATGTGGATGCTCTACACGAGAGGCATGTACGTATATATATATATATATATCGATATATATATATATATATTCATATATATATATATATGTCTATTTATATGTATATAAATATATATATATATATATATGTATTTATATATACATACATATATACATATATATTTATATATATTTATACGTCCGCTGACGCTGATTAAAAAAAAAAACAAAAACGTGGAACTGTCACGGCAGCGTACTCCAGTTGTTATCTCGGGTACGCGAAGTTGCAGGGTTTGGTAAGCGACATTCCTGGGAGGCATGCTTGAAAATGCAGTGATTCGTGGCACATTTAAGCTGGCAGTCCAGGCTCGCAACGACTAGCCGGCCTCATAGTCGAGCGCATGAACCACCTGACGTTCAAATTTGCAAGGCATCATTCAAGCTCACTAGCATTCTATACTAGCTTTCCACCTCTGACATGAGTTTCAACTGCTCAAAGAGAGCAAACACCTTCTCCATCGGCATGGAACAGGCCAACTTGAGCAACGGACGACCTTCCCGCTGTAGCAATCGCTCTTGTCCGCTGGTCACCCCGAAGTAAACCATTCATCATGGAGTGTTATCAACCATAAACACCTTTCAACCAACGTACAAACTGATCGCTATGAATCGTCATAGGGCCCGCGATTCTCGCCTGGCGGTTTCGCTTCCTGGGTGCGTAGTAGGCCGGCACCCAGTCCAGCCGCGACACCAGGCTCTCGCTGTCTGCACGCAGGTGGCAAGTCAGGATCATCCTGCTCATGGCCTACCCCGAGCGAAGCCGACAGTCGCTCAAAACGATGTCAATGCGAGAGACAGAGGAAGAGAGAGGGAGAGAGAGAGAGAGAGAGAGAGAGAGCAAAAGGGAGAGAGAGAGAGAGAACGAGAACGCCAAACACACTAATGTATAATGTTGAAATGGCAATATGGAACAAGTTCTGCCCTCATGGACATCCGTTTTTGTTTGCGTGACTTTAACGGGGAACCCTTCGCAAAAAAAAGGACAACAGGGTACCACTGGGCAAATGGGTCCTTTAAACCAGCTCTCATGACCTGGGCGAACGATCGTAACTGGGGAACAGTCCTAACCAATAATATGCCCGGGCGCCTCTTTTGATCCTTTAAATGGTCACACGTAGACCCCCTTCAATACCAGCTTGTCATCGTGGCTCACCAGGCGTTGAACGCGTGAAAGCTATGGTCATATCACAGAACTGACGGGGGCTGTCCAGCATGTGACTTGGTGTTTGGGCGGATATTTCACTCCAGCCATAGTGGCATCCTTGCTCTTTTGGAATTGAACTATTAGGGCACAACGGCATGTGGTGGAACCAGAAGGGAAGCCAAAAGGATGCCAAGCACCCATTTTGAGGGGTATCCTTTGCAGCTTGGCTTAAAAGCGAATCCCGACAGCACGACTTTTGTGAAGTCTCTTTAGAGACAACTACGGAAGCCCCTGAAAGTGGCTTCTTTTCGTTCGAACATTCCCTTTAAGTACCAACCCATCCTTGGCCCACATCTGGGGTACAAAAAAAATCAGACTCTGTGTCACATTGCGCCTACCAACAAATATATAAATACATACATATATATGTATATATATACTCGCTTGCTTTCTGCTCTGCTAAAAGCTTAACTTTTAGTGGTTTAATGGAAAACCCATTCGCTGGCAACAAGTTAAAGTCCCAACATCCCCAGGCAAAATGCGCCAAAGTAGCCATCCACGAGGCTTCGTTTCGGTTTCTCGGGGTTGGCCCCCGGCGAAACCGAAGCGCCTGCGCATGGGTCAGCTCCAGCTCCAGCACCGCCAAGCCCTCGGGCGGCGGAAAAACCACCGGCTCCGGGCAGCTCCGCCTGGGAAATAAAGGATTTGGCTCCGGATGGCTGTGGGCCAAAAATATGTACCCAAAATGGAATCCTGGTAAATAGAAACATGGACTCAAACCTGCGGTCCAATTCCTGGTGGTGAAAATTTTGGACCCATACCCAAATAAAGGATTCCCCGTGGGAAAACGGGAACCTCAAAAAAATTGGGGCCCGTGTTTTCTTCTTCTTAAAAAATGCACGCAACACCAAAAAGGTAGCCTGAACAGAAGGAACAATACTGACATCCGGGTGACACGTTTTGTGAGAAAGTGCATATGAGCTTGTCACCAAATGAAATGGGTGGCTCACCTTTGACTTAACAGAGCCACATCTGCAACTCCGGTGTCTTGCACATGTGAGCAAGGGCGAACAAACAAGCCTTTTAAACTTAGAAGCAAATGTCAATGCGATGGAAAGCAAGTCCACCAAGTGTCCTTAAATAGGGGAACCTCTGAAAAGGAGGGCCCGGTTTCTCGCAGTTTTCCGTTCAAAACCAAAGGGTTCCCTGAAAAGTCACCCTCCGACAGGGCGATCTCTAAAGCCTCCAGCCAATGAGTTGCATACAGATCAGCCGTGAAATCCTGAAAAAAATCAAGTAAGCCGCCCACATCCAACCACGAATTTAGTGAGTTTCCGACTTGTTCCCCTACTTCCACGATTTGGGGCATCCACTACATATGGCAAGGAGTCACAAGGTGGACTCCGTGGGCAGCCTGCACGCGCTCATCCAACGCTGTGATAGTGCGCGAAGGCGCACCTCATGCCAGCATGGAGGTCAATACGGGTGTGGCTCAAAATTAAAGAGTCAGGGTGGGTTACGCGGGTTTTGGCCTTTGTTTCCATTTAAGGGGCCATGTGTGGTACCATTTTTTGCGCCACAGCCATGACTGTTGGAAAGTTGATGCGGTGGCCTGAAAAAATGTGCTGAGCCATTTCACTTCACAAGTTCCTGTGGCTCCCGACTTCAGCCACTTGTAGACATACAACATGGAACACGATGTTTGCCAATATATATGAAATGAGAAGTAGCGCTCAGCTCGTTTGGACAGGTCATATGAGGCCACATTGTTTCACAGATTAAGGAGGTAAGCACTGAGGCTGCAAGCATGAGAACTTCTGGGCCCAGCCATCACAACCTCTGGTTTAGAGTGGGTTGGCCAATCCTCGTCCACCTTTTGTGTAAAACCATGAAGGGGAGCTTTTGTAACCAAGGATTCAGGAGTGGTGCAAGGCTTTGAAGCCCATTGCCGTCACAAGCCGTAGGCCAATTGCATCTCCGTGGTTGAAAGTCAGCACTCGTGCGATTGAGGGCTTGTAGCACCATGCCGATGAACTGTTGCATCAAGTATATATGTTCCAGTGCCCAGGCCACCAACCCCCCCCCCCAAGGGTAGGGTCTCCCCCCCCTCGCCCACCCGACCCACCCCCAAGCCGCCGGATCCCCACACCCCACTGCTATGGTCCACAGAGCCCCTCCTCGAGCCTCTGAACTCGCACCCTTGCATCCCAACACGTAGGACAACTCAACCCACAACCAACCTTAAACCCGAACCCTAAACCAATCCTACACCCCTAACACTTCACCCTAACCCTAACCAACCCTAAATCAACCCTAAACCAACCCTAAACCAACCACCTAAACCCACTGTAAACCCTAAACCCACCCTAATCCAACCCTAAACAAACCCACCCCACCTGGGGGGGGGTTGGGAAGGGGGGGGAGGGTGGGGGGTCCACGGCCTGGAACATATACACCGCTTCTTGTCCCATTAGAGCTTATCAATGGACAGAAATGACACCCTCACAGCCAGGCCCCTGGCTCGCCATGTGGACATCCTTGGTGCGATGCCACTGGTCCATGCTGACATGAAGTGAACCTTCAAACAGCAAGGAGGATTGCACATGAGGAGCTGCCAAGACCCATCACAGCGGCCCAACAGATGGTGGTTCTTCGTACTATGTTGGGTCTTCATGATAACCCCAATCAAACCGCAGTGGTATGACCCCCCTGCCCAAATCTGCCTTTGCTCCAGGGGTCTCGAGCCTTTGCTCCCTGAGTCCCCGAGAGTCTCAAGGACTTTGCGCAGAATCTCATCGTCGCTGCCCGTGGTGACCAGTGGAATCTCCATGGCGCGACGCGCTTTTTCTCGCCTTTGATGGCCGGCTGGAAAGCAAGTGACTTTTGCAGCTGTCGAGGCCAATGGAAACCTTTGACACATCAGAAATAGCTTGCCAACATGTCAAAGTGTTTCAACAGCTATTGGTGTGTGTTCACACAGTTTCAACAGCTATTTGTCACATTGCATATGCCCGACAACGCCATCTTTGGCTCCCTTTCGAGCGGCTGTCTTTGGAAGCTGACACAGACCAGTTGGACAAGGTCATCTTTTGCATAGCTCCAAGAAAAAACCGGCACAAGGCCCAGACATGTTTCCAAGAAGGCAAAGGACCACCATAGGACCAGATTGATTTACACAGTGATTTGGGTGTGGCTCAAAATTGAGGAGCTGGGCTTACGCAGGTGTTGGTCTTTGTGTCCATCCGGGCCAAAAAGTGGTACCAGCTGTTTGAGCCACGGCCATTTGAAATCACCTTCCCGGCCGCGGACATCACAATGACACGGCCTAGGCCATCAGCAACTGCAGCATTTATTCTTTTTCATGCAATGTTGGCACCAATGACTCTTTTGTAAACACGTGCAGGGCAAAAGCGATGAATTCAGACTGGTCATGGAGATGCTGGGGCTCACCATTTAATCCAATCTTGAGCGGCCTCAGTACTGGTCAGACATGTGTTTGCTGCATCACATAGCACTTATGGACGTTGGACGTCACGGAGGTTCAATCATAAGGCATAGAATGCAGCTGCAATGGACAACTACTGACACGTCTCAAATATGCACACGGACACAATGTGCACATAATATGTATGATGTATGTGTATATATATATATATGTATATATGCAAATCCCGGCGATGCAGCAAACCATACACCTTCAACACATTTGCCCACCTTGGTTTTGAGCTTCTCGTGAACCCCGGGCTAGACACATCAATCTCAGCCGGTTTCAGATTCACATGCCGAGGTTCCACTGCCAACTGAGGTCATTGAACAACAAACGCAAACTGCAGGATGAAACCAAGCCGTGCGGATTCTTTCTCAGGCCCTTGGAGCAGCTACAGCTCAGGTCATGCCGCGTCCTGTAGACGTGGGAGCATCAATGTGAAGCCACAGGAACACTCACTCGCACACGACACACCGACGCACGCGTCACAGATCATGACTGAAACTCTTTTCGCCGGACTCGTCTATCCAATCTGCAGATGCTGTTGCACAATATCCAAAGGGTCCTCAATGTTTGGGTTTCCGCATATGGTCGGTGTCCTCCTTGCAAGCCACACATGGCGTCCTTTGCCCCCGGCAGGAGCGGCACCATGAAGGTGTCCCCCGCCGCGGCGCAGCGTCCACAACCTCGTGGAGGACCTCAGCGCGCTGTCCTCAAATTCCTCCTCCGTTCTTTGCTTTTCTTCTTTTTTTGTTTTTTTTCTCAGGATCCAGGCAGTGGTGGCAACATAGCCACATTCCCGCGACCAGCTGGATTGGGCAACTTCCTGTTCTTGCGGACTTCCTGGGAGCTGGTTTCTTGGATCAAAGGGAAACTGAACCCTGTTTATCCGACTCCCACGCTGTACCCCCTCCAGGCGAGAGGCGGTCGTCCCAAACACCCTGGACCTTGAAACTCGGGAAATGTCTTGGGGTTTTAGGAGACCCCTACTGTTTACCCAATTCCAGTGGTTTAGTCACAATTTGGGCAAAAACATATACGAATCGCGCATTGGCCATACAAAGTAAGTACACCTCGCTGCACTTGCCAACGTGCCAGTGAACACCATGGAATGCCTTGGTCATCAAAACTATGACTGGTTCTGATTTGCAGGAGCTTGCGGGTTTTTGCGGTCGATTTGCGGAATTGTGCGGGTGTTTTGCGGTCAAAATGGGTATGCTTTTTCTGCACCACACAACTTTGGACTGCAGTTGCATGTTTTGACAAACTGGCTGCATTAAGTCGTTTACGCTTGCAACGCTTCCTTTAAAGTCTGTCAAAGGCCGCGAGCCGTGCAACAGTGTTGTTTTTAGGAGTGTTAGGAGTTTCAGGTTTTTGCGGCAAAAAGCGCTGTGATTTCCCGAATATACAGTCAAAGGCGGCAACTACGCTTTTTTTCAGGAGGACGAAGGTCCAGGATGGTTAAACTGTTGCCATCCTCCGATTGCTGCAAGCATTGGTTGGACCCAATGCAAGGGTTGGGATCTCCAAACACCGAGTCGGCTTTTGTTGGTACCCGAAGCATTGGACGCGGCTCAGGATTTGCTTTGAAAGGGTCTGGGTCTCAAGGGCCATTTAACGGTTCCCAGCCGTCCAAATCCTTAGGTGTTTATAGCTGTTTTTCGTTGGCTTAGTGGTCGGGTTTCCATCTAACCCACTGAAAGTTAAGCTGATAGCAGGGGAAAGGGGACAGCCCAGGAATATGTCGTCAACTTCGGATAGCTCATGACGCAGTTAGGGAACGCCGGGCCAGAACAGAGCTTTGTGATCGATGTGTTCAGCCCAAGAGCACTGTGCGGGGATGGGTGCTTTTCATTTTGAATTCCAAAGGCTCCCGACAGATCCTTGTTGACCGCCAGGAGGGATTGGCCGGTGTTGGGATGTGAAGCACACTATATAGCTAAGTTGATTTAAATGGACACCAAACGGAAGCCCATCATGAGGGGTCCCTCATTTTGAGACAAACCCTTCGAAGTTTGATTTGGGGAGCAAGGTTAAAGGTACATCCCTAGGCATCATCTGGATCCTCATACGAAGGGGGTCGACCGCAAAAGAGGGCTTTGCTGAGAATCCATGATTCTTAGTAAATTATACCACAATAGCCAAGTTAGGTTTCGAACTCCCTTTTTTTCATTTTTGAATATGGGCTTGTCTCAACATGGGGGAGCCCCCAAAACCTTCCTTTGCTTGGAGAGTGGTCACGTCAATCATCATTAATCTGGCCCAAAAAGAGACAAGGCTCACGACAATTCAGACAGCACTAGTCCACAGCCTCACCTTCAGAATGGCCAAACTCGAGAGCGACTCCAATTTGTTCGCGCTGTTCCTCCTTCTAACCATGGAAGTTGACAGAACGGTGTGAAAGGCAGTCAGTCCTCTTGAATTGGAAAAGTCCCCCGAACCCTCCCATGAGGTATATAGCTTCTCCCATGAGGTATAGTCGCCGTTTAATTTTCGTAGCAATTAACTTCAAGTATACTTTGGAGTAGAGGGGACTTTGTTGTGCCTCTGTGTGGGTGTGCTCTGGGGCAAGCATTTTCAGACTCTCTGATGTCGGACTTACAGCTGTTCCAGCCTGGGTGCATGATTGGTACAAAAGCATTTTTTCTGGCAACATGAGATGGGACCCTGTTTCAGTGTGCAAAAGCACTACGAAGTCCGTGACGTAGAAGCCACTTCATGTTTTAAGTGCTTTGTGTGTGCCTGAGGACTTGGGAACACTTTTTCCCGCGGGGGTCCCTTTAATACTCCTCAGTCATCTACACTTAGTATATTTCCGAACTGATAAGGAAGTATCAAGTGATGGATATTGAAGAAGTGCAAGATGTGTCCTGCTAGAAGTTCCTGAAAATGTAGCGCGAGGCACGAGAAGCGGCCCTCTGGTCTCTCGAGCTACGATGTCGCCACTTGAGAGACTAAGGGTGGTTTGCCCCCCCACTGCTCGACTTCCAGCTCCATTGAACAAGTCTTTCCACAAAGGCGAAAATGTAACTGATAGAAGTGCAAAGCCCTCCTCCATTCCATTTTGAAGGGACTGGGCAGTCTGGGCCCGGGAAGGGAATTCTTGCAATGCTATACAGCTATTGCCAAAGTAACTCGCCTTCAAACTAGGTCCGCAATTGGCTGGCCCTCCCGCAACCATCCTGCTAGAGCTAACTTGCTCATGCTACAGAAAGCTTGCCAATTCAAGTTCCTGTGCTCTGAGCAGCTGAAACACCCCCGTTTTGCCATGTGCATGTGTGTGTGTGTGAAAACTCCGCAAAATAACCATGGATCAGAACATCCAAACAGATATACAATGTTGCCTTAATAATTGTCATCATACACACCTTCATGTTCCTGGTACTGGCACACACACGCGCGCGCGCGCGTGCGTGCTTGCGTGCGTGCGTGCGTGGGTGCGTGGGTGCGTGGGTGCGTGGGTGCATAATTGCGTGGGTGGGTGCGTGGGTGGGTGGGTGGGTGGGTGGGTGTGTGGGTGCGTGGGTGCGTGGGTGCGTGGGTGCGTGGGTGCGTGGGTGCGTGGGTGCGTGGGTGCGTGGGTGCGTGGGTGCGTGGGTGCGTGGGTGCGTGGGTGCGTGGGTGCGTGGGTGCGTGGGTGCGTGGGTGCGTGGGTGCGTGGGTGCGTGGGTGCGTGGGTGCGTGGGTGCGTGGGTGCGTGGGTGCGTGGGTGCGTGGGTGCGTGGGTGCGTGTGTGCGTGGGTGCGTGGGTGCGTGGGTGCGTGGGTGCGTGGGTGCGTGGGTGCGTGGGTGCGTGGGTGCGTGGGTGCGTGGGTGCGTGGGTGCGTGGGTGTGCGTGGGTGCGTGCGTGCGTGCGTGCGTGCGTGCGTGCGTGCGTGCGTGCGTGCGTGCGTGCGTGCGTGCGTGCGTGCGTGCGTGCGTGCGTGCGTGCGTGCGTGCGTGCGTGCGTGCGTGCGTGCGTGCGTGCGTGCGTGCGTGCGTGCGTGCGTGCGTGCGTGCGTGCGTGCGTGCGTGCGTGCGTGCGTGCGTGCGTGCGTGCGTGCGTGCGTGCGTGCGTGCGTGCGTGCGTGCGTGCGTGCGTGCGTGCGTGCGTGCGTGCGTGCGTGCGTGCGTGCGTGCGTGCGTGCGTGCGTGCGTGCGTGCGTGCGTGCGTGCGTGCGTGCGTGCGTGCGTGCGTGCGTGCGTGCGTGCGTGCGTGCGTGCGTGCGTGCGTGCGTGCGTGTGTGCGTGCGTGCGTGCGTGCGTGCGTGCGTGCGTGCGTGCGTGCGTGCGTGCGTGTGTGTGTGTGTGTGTGTGTGTGTGTGTGGTGTGTGTGTGTGTGTGTGTGTGTGTGTGTGTGTGTGTGTGTGTGTGTGTGTGTGTGTGTGTTGTGTGTGTGTGTGTGTGTGTGTGTGTGTGTGTGTGTGTGTGTGTGTGTGTGTGGGTGCTGTGCGTGCGTGTGTGTGTGTGTGTGCGCGTGCGTGCGTGCGTGCGTGCGTGCGTGCGTGCGTGCGTGCGCGCGTGCGTGCGCGCGTTCGTGGGTGGGTGGGTGGGTGTGTGTGTGTGTGTGTGTCTGTGGGGGGGTGGGTGGGGGGTGGGAGGGTGGTGTGTGTGGTGGGTGGGTGGGTGGGTGGGTGGGTGGGTGGGTGGGTGGGTGGGTGGGTGGGTGGGTGGGTGGGTGGGTGGGTGGGTGGGTGGGTGGGTGGGTGGGTGGGTGGGTGGGTGGGTGGGTGGGTGGGTGGGTGGGTGGGTGGGTGGGTGGGTGGGTGGGTGGGTGGGTGGGTGGGTGGGTGGGTGGGTGGGTGGGTGGGTGGGTGGGTGGGTGGGTGGGTGGGTGGGTGGGTGGGTGGGTGGGTGGGTGGGTGGGTGGGTGTGTGTGTATGTGTGTGTGGGTGTGAGATAGTCAGTCACACACACTTATGACAAACATGTCATTTCCAAATCACTCCTCTTGAGACACAATGAGAGTATGGCTCAATCGCATCAAGGTTCATGGATTCTGCGGGGAAGAGCACACACACACACCACGGGGGGCGGACTTGTGAACAAACAAACGCACATCATCGCACATCTGGACCCAGGCTGGAATACCGGATTGCCTCCCACACCTCCTGACATGCCCTGGCAAGCTACAAAGACAAACACTCTTTGTCAAACAACTACTACAGTCTCATGATCCCCCGGCGCTCATTCTGAATTTAGCACTTGCCAAGTGGCATCTTTGGACGCAGGCGGAAGTTGCACACCGGGAAAATCGTCCATCGCGCTGCCAAGGCGGAGCCAGGGCAGTCTGGCATGTCGATTGAAACAGAGCGTGTTGCCGCTGCAACATTGCCACGCAAGTTCAAACAGGATCTCTGGCGGTCAAATGAAAAACCAGCTACTCGCTATCCGCGACAGCATTTCTCTCCGCATCTGGGCCCGTTGCCAAAGCCCGGACGCATCATGCATCCAGGAGTGAAATTGCGCAGTGGAAAACACATTTGACCAGTCTTTAATCAAGCTCAATAAAATGCTCCACGCTACCAGAATCCATATCTCGTTGGCCTCGCGAGAATTCCTTCCAACAAATCCTGTCGATCCGGACCTGAAGCTGTGGCTACAGCTCGCGCTGCAGGAAATGCACAGCATCCGTCTGCAGTGGAGGTCCTTTGCCCACGCGCTGTGGGTACAAGGATGGTCGTCGCTTTTTGGACCTGGGTGATCAAACACACCATGTAGGCGAATCTAGTCACGCCCGCTTTAAAGTCTTGCAAGCATGAATGACACCAATTTCTGGGGACACATTCATTTCATTTACAGATTGAAGAAACGTTCAGCTTGTATTCCTCTACCTATCCAACTCAAACTTGCTCGGCTAGGGTGATTCTGCTTGGGGAAGATTGCCACGCAGCCAAAGACACGACAATGAACTGACCTGACACTCAAAACCATCCGACGGGAGACAATAATTCATGCTGCCCCCATATTCATCAACCCCAGTCTATTAACGCAGACATCCCTGGGTGTAGTGGGGATTCATCACAATTGGAGGGGACCACCCCCCTATGAACAAAAAATATGGGGTTTGATTCATATGGGATCACCATTAAGATAAAACCCATTTCCTGAACTGATCTCCAGGGGACGCCCGCGGCCCAGGCTTCACCTCCTGCTTCCTTGGAGCCTTGGGGACCACCTTGAACATTCTGGAGCCGCCATCTGCTGCAAGCGTCACATTGATAAACCTCATGCGGCCCAAGTCTTCCTGGCAGGGTTGGGCAAAGCGTGCTTGAAACAACCCGGTTCCCGTTTGTCCCGCCGTCAAAAGGGAACCCGAGGAGGTTGTTGCAACCATACGTCTTCGAATCAGTGCAACACTGGCTGGCCAAGTCTTCCTTGCTCCAAAGATCTCTCACCGCGGCTTCTTCGAAGAAGTCGCAGGGCTGAAGCTCAGTGCTGGACCAACAAACATCTGAGATGCTGAAGTTCACCCGGGCAGAATTATTCTCCAAATTCAGAAGGACCTGGACTTGCAAAGGTCAATATCCCGCAAACCAGAAGCAATGAACAGCCAGCCAAAAGCGAACGCGAGAACACGACCCAACACAAACTGTATACAGGCATGTAACGTAACGTAATGGAATGCAAAGCAATGTGTAATGAAGCAAGCCACCACGGCGAATCCATCTTGGATCGGCTTGGCCCAAACTTGCTGACAAGCTGGGATCTCATCATAGTATTGCTTTTGACGAATATTGGTACGATTGCGCAAGGGGCAGTTCTCCCAAACAATTTGACCTTGAATTCCCAGAGGATCCTGGTCAACTGCAATCACTTCGCGATTGGTGTAAGTCTCGAGATCGTGATCCGTCATTGACAACATCGATCCAAGCAACAAAGGGGCTGTCATGACTGACCACAAAGAAAACTGCGTGCGTGACTGTTCAGGGGTCATTCGAACTGCAGTGTCAGAAGATCCAACCAACATATCAGGATCATTCCATCCGCCAGGACCTGCATAATCATGAAGAAATGCATTCACACGGATCGCATAGTTCCAGGCACTCCGCCAGTTTCGGACATCATAACCAATCCTCCAGGAGTTGGCAAGGCCCTTGCCGAAAGGGCTATACCAGTTGTGCCACCCAGACAAGGCCAAAAAGATTGGACGACCTGTCGCATTCAAGGCATCCCGAAAGAGCTTGTATTGCGCGATGGCTGCGGATGAAGGACGATCATCCAAAGAGTCGGGACCATTGCAGGAGTCTGTCTTCACATAATCTACGTCCCAAGAAGCAAAGGTCTGGGCATCGGTAACCTCATAACCCCAAGTCCCCGGGCGACCGGCACAAGTCCACGTGCCTCGGTCGGTGTAGATGCCAAACTTCAAGCCGCTCTCATGAACGTAGTCAGCCACGGGCTTCATACCCTGTGGGAATGCATCGGGATCAGGCACCAAAACGCCATCTTCTCCGCGCTTCTTAGCCCAGCAATCATCTATAATCAAATATTCATAGCCCAAAGCAGGCAGTCCCAATGTCACCATCTTGTCAGCTACCTTTCGAATGTTCTCGGCCGAGACGCCGTGGCATTCGAAGTCGTTCCAGGTGTTGTAGCCCATCTGCGGGGTGGATCCCAGACCATTGTCATGCCCCTCACCTAGCTCCAGTTGGAGGCCTATGGCCAGGCAGCCCCATGCGAAGAGCCCCATGCTACGGCATGGGGGCAGAGGGTTCGGTGTTTGGACTAGACTAAGCAAATCCGCAGCTGGTCCATGTCACAAATCAGCACCTCGCTCAAAGACATGTGTGGTATATATGCTCGACGTCTCGGATGCGCGTTTCTTCGACGTTGAGTTGGCCTAAAGCACCGTTTCATAAGTATCAGAAAAAATAGATGTCATATAATATTTTACAATATGCCAATGATATCCAATATTAAGATAGTTGCACTTGCAAACACCCCTACGTACAGCTTCTATGTCAAGCAACACGCACCAACTTTGCACCGCAAGGACTGACCTTAAGCCAATCCTTTGCAAAATATATCAATCAACATGCTGAACATCTTGGACTCATGGCTCCCCTCTCTCCGCGGCCTGCCCAAGTGAGCGGATTCGGCCACTATTCGGCCCATCCAATGATTTCGAAGAGTAAAGCAAAAACTGGAGTCTCAAAAACACACACACACACACACACACACACACACACACACACACACACACACACACACACACACACACACACACACACACACACACACACACACACACACACGTCGGGCTCTGTGCTACATTTGCATGGCTAGTGCATGGCCCCTAATTTCACAAACCCCACTTGCAGTGTTGATTTCATTCAAGGAGCACACGATCCATTGGTGGTCTGAGCATGTGCGAAATGCTTGCCAAGTTGTTGTTCCAAATGACACCACCCATTTACAGTGGGGATGTGTGCAATGTTTGACATGAGGAATGCGAAACATTCGACAAATGGCATCCAGAATTAATTACCGTTGCTGTTTTGGCATTGGATTATTGTCAGTAAGATATCTTGCCTCATATCGTATTGTAACATAAGCACCCACTGCACGAGACCTTCACATCAATTGCTCCAAGGTGTCATACTCTTGACCCAAGCCGTTGAAAGACCGGAGCTTGCTCGGCTGATCGATCTTTTCCCGGATCGGAGGATTTTCAAGCTGGCCAGGGGGTTCCATGAGGGTAGAGCTGGGTCCTTGCAAGGCCAGAAATCCTCGTTCTAGTTAACAATCTTCTTAATCCCCAATCCGCACTCCAAAGCGTGACTTGAAACCTTGTGCTGAAGCATTGAAAACTCATGCAACCCGAAATCCGTAATCCGTAAAGCGCACATCCATAAAATGCATAATCCGCAATCCACCGCTCATTGGGGATTATGATTTGAATAAGCTAGAAATCTAAGCTCTACCTTGCTCGAGTTGTATTTGGGACAGTCTACCCAACCCAAGCATCATTGGACACTCCAGTGGAGGGGTCTGGACATTTGGAAGGATTTGGGCTCACACGGTTTTTCCTTGAGAACCTCATGTTTTTAAACAGGAAACAACGCGGGCATCGCTGTCCTCTTACTTTCAGTCAAACATCTCAAAGTAGAATTTCACGTGTAGTGCTTTCCTGAATGTTTCTGTGTGAATTATAATATTTCACCAACCTGCAATAAGGTGGTTGGGGGGCTATTCCCCACATAAATCACCGTTTGGGGTGAGGTCGTGTGAGGTCGTGATAAAATTCACCCAGATGTTTTCTTTAAAGCAAGCCCAAAGCATACCCTGCAAAAACAAAACACGCCCACGTGCTGAACTCGTCCCGGCAGCCTGTGCCCAGCAGCTGCGAGAACCGACACGTGGCCGACAAGGCGCCTGTCGGGCGACAACGAGTTGAAGGAATTTGCAGCTTCCGCATCAGGTACTGAAGGACCCTGGCAAACGGAAGCCATGTGCTTCTTTTTTCTGGAGAGGAAGCCAAGCCAAGTTCCTACCGTTTCCACCATAGGTTGCCTTTTGGGAACATAGATGGCTCTGGTAAATGGAATCAACCCCATCTAAACCAGTGCCATCTATTTCTAACCAAACTCACCTAGAAAAGGAAACCTATGGTTTCCGCGTTTTAGTCCTTTCACGCTTTGAAATGAGCGACCCTAGCGTACCTCCAAGACGGCGATCGTCTCCTCGCTGCAGTGAAGCGGCTCCTCTTCAGGTCCGCACGCCGCTCACCTCGGATGGAGATCCCGTTTGAAGCCAAGGGGAAACAACTTGGACTGCGCTGGCCCTTAAGCCATCCCTGAGATTGCAGTGATTCAGAGCAATGGAACCATGAAAAGTGATTGCCCGAAGGGCCACTTCTGGTCACAGTTAGTTTGCGAGACTCTCAGGGGAACTTAACCATTCTTTCCAGGCATCCTTCTTTTCAGAAAGCCGCCCACACCTTGCATAAGCGGCAGGCGTTTGAGAAACAATGGCTTTTTTGCCTTCTTCCTTGCTGCTGCATGAAAAGCAGCGGCTTTTTCCCTTCTTCCTTCGCTGGGACCTGGGTTCCCTTCCAAAAATTTGGACCCTTAAGGATGCTAAAAGGCAAACCCTGGCGCACAAATCTGGGCGTCAACCGCCCCAACTGCACCATCAGATCATATAAGATCAGCACCAAAGGGAGCATAGATGCAGTCGAAAATTGGGGCGAGGATTGGGGGATGGGGCGCGTTGGTTTCCCTTTAAACATCAACCAACCTTTTGGGGTACCTACTTTTTGGAATTCGAACGGGAATCCTATGAGCGACCGACCTGCAAACTGTACTTGTGAAAACGCTTCCGGAGGCAAGTTCTGTTTTTTTTGGCGTTCCCTATACACTTTACAGCAACTGCTTATGCATCACGCGGCTGGGTGGTCGGTTACACACAGGTGCGGGCATTTCTCAGGACTGCTGCTCCTACTGGTCCCAAAGAGGCACTTGGTTTCCCTCATGCTACCAACAGCTTTGCTCATCTTGGAATCTGACTTTTGGGGTTGGGGTTGCAATGGTTTCATATCGTTTCCCATGGTTGGGAGCGAATCTCAGCACATCTTGCTTAATCCCGTTCTATAGTCCAGTTGCCCTTGCAGCGTCGTGGGACACCACCACAACGAGAAACACCACTGCCATCGAAACGCTTGAACCACGGCGTGGTACCATCTAGCATCAGGGCTTGTAAACCATGCAAACCCAAAATTGCTACCATAGCTCCCTGTAACCCCCTGTAAAACTCTATAAGTCTATAATACCCCAGCCTCCTCTTCGCTCGCCACGCCGCAAAGCACGCTAACCGAGCACGCCACCGAGGTGGAGGCCCGGCAGACGGAGGCGTCAGTCAGGGCCTCCTGGCAATCGGAAAGAAGTGGCGCTGGTCTGAGAATGTTCACCCCGGATGAATAAACCCCTGTTTATTTTTTTGGGGGGTGTTCCTGGTTGTAGTGGGGATTATTTTGAGATGGGGCTTGTCTCAAAAAGTGGGGGGCCCAAAAACATCAATTGGTGTCCTTTTCCCCTTCAAAATGAACTCCAAAGGGGGTCCCCCGAACAAAGACACGCCCATATATGAATGTCTTTCAAGTTCAAGTCACGAATCATGGCCGGGATTGCTTAGGTCTTTCACGTAGGGCCAGAACAGGGGCTAGCAAGAGTCGGTCCCAATCAGGTGCAGACCGCCACAAACGCAGGTGACTGGATCACACGAGAATCTGCGAAGAGTGCCCTACAACTTTCTTACATATCAAAGTCAAGGCGGATTGCCATGCGAATAAAGCCCGCCATTCAAAGTGAGGGAGCACATGATGGCCACCATCTGGGCTTGAGGCTATACCTCCTGCGATAATATAAGGTGTTCTCTTTTACCACGTGACTCAGGTGAAACACTTCGCCGAGATCTTTCTGGGATTCGGATTGCTTCTAAGCTGCTAGGCATCTCAGCATCTTCCACAAGTTTTGGGGCATAGCTTCGAGAATTCGTCAGACCCGCACCAGCCAATTGCAAGGACATCTGCACAGCTCGCAGCAATGCCGATGACTGAGATGGTTCGATCTACACACTGGCAAGATGACGGACACCATGCAGGTACAACTGATAACACTGTCAGATCGGTACAATTACAGGTCTCAGGACACAACCGCGCCAGAGGAGCAAACAGCTCCTCGTTGCCACCGCACCATGGACGGTACGTCGTCACTTCATTCTGATTCCCGTTCATGGCTAAGGCAGCGCAGCCATACGTTTTCATGGCGTCAATAATTTGATAAACATCAAAAGCTGAGGAGTTGTCTGTGGAATCCAAAGTTTGTCCAAGTGTCGTTTCAAGCACAGTGGGATAAAGATCCCAGAACTGATCCCATGCAGGAAGATCGACCTGGTTCGTGCATTCGCCGGATCGATCTGCTTCCTCAAGGCATGCGACATAGCAGCCCTTCGCAGGAACTTTGAACCAAGGATTGCTCCTTGAGTTGATGCAGCATGTTCGTCCGCAAACCAGTCGAAGCAACTGCGCATCCTCATCATCACACCTGTGCTGTGCGTCTGCACATGAACTGTTGCTGGGAAGGCCGAGCCCAAGCATAGCTGCCCTGAAGAACGGCCTGAAGTAAGGAGCCTGCGATGCATAAGGGTTGTCAGGTTGGAAAAAAACATCAACATCCGAACACCAGGTCTTTTCAGAGGCTGCTGCCGTCATCGTCTGTGTTCGATAGCTCTCAAAACGCTGTGAATCAGTGTGGAAAGCAATGTACTTTGCCTCCAAGCCGTCCTGGAAAATATAGTCGCCGATCGCCAATTCTACCACCGTTTGCTCAGCACTGCGGTTGAATGGAACCGACTTGAAGCCAAAGGGCATGTTCTGATCTTCATTGAACCCAACCACAAAGTCCTGATGGCCTCCACAGTGGGCATGCTTCACAGCCGCCATTGTGTCTCCTAAGGGACCTACGATTGTAAAGTAGGGCCATGCCAGAAGTGCGCCCAACAGAACGAGGATGCACACAGATTCCATCTGGCTGCGGAGGCGACTGTATTGCACCTTAATCGCCTCAAGGTCCTCCACTTTCAGCTGTAGTTTCTTGGGCATCAAGGCTGAGAAGATGGTCGTGTCCAAATCCAAAATCGCCTCCAAGGCCACCGCGTTCAAGATGAGATCAGTAATGGACGTGGTGCTCCCAAGCCACAAGACCCCCGCGTAGAGCAGGACCCCGGCAATGCAGGCACGAAGTAGGCGAAGCAAACAGTATGCCCAGAACCGTCCGTATGAAATCACTTCGAACCGGGCCCCCTGAAACTTGGTCCGTGCTGATCTTGGGATCTGTGCCACGGCCTCCAAGGAGAGGAAAATGGTACGAAACTCATTGCAGATATAGAGGCACCACAGCAAGATGCAAAGCATTGCCAGCAGAATGCCGGGACGAAATCCGGTGGCTTCAAGTTCATCATCTTCTAAGTTCAGAAAACTGTTGATACGCTGAATAAGATCTGCTTGCTCGGTGGAAATGATTAACGAGCCATCTCCGTTGCAAACACGAGACGTTAAGCTTGTCTTCGCGAAGTCCAGATATGTGTGATCATGAGCCACACTTCGTCGCCAACTGAGGGCTGTCTCGACTTGGGCTTGGTCGAAGGGTTCCCCGAGAAACGACTCGCTGGTAAGGATCCAGCTGAAGGTAATTTGCATGCCTGCACTCGCAACAAGCAGAAGCCAGGCAACAATCACATCAATCCAACCCACGCCTGAATGACCCAATACCAGAACCAGGTTCCAGGTGGTTTCTAAGAAAGGCACGGGCTCCATAGCATCTTCATGTGTGGTTTGGTCACCCGCATCTTCTTCAGGCTCTGGAGACACGACATCCCCGTCCAGCTTCTTCATCTGCGGGGGGTTGTGCGAATCCTCGTAACTCAGCATGTCGTGGCCGCCGCCTTCCAAATTCTTCAGCTTTTCTCGCAGCGGCTGAAGAGCTTTCTCCAGTTCCATTCGGAACTCTTCTCGCATCCTCCGCTCCAAGTTGGCAATGCTCTTTTCAAGCTTCAACGCCGACATGCTGAGAACCAAAAAGATTGTCAGTAAGATTTCAAAAAGGTATAATGTGCTGGAGCCAAATTTGGTGGTATGGACAAATGCAGGCCTTCATACATCAAGTTAGGATACTGGGGTGTGAGCCGTTGCTTTGTTGCTCCCCCAGATTTCAGGAGAAATCAAAAGGCTGAAACTGCCCTGCCATTTCTATCTCGTGTTGCTTACTATGAAATGCAAAACGCTTGTCCAAAGACTGTCCAAAGAAGCTGACGCTGCCATACATGTTGTTCCCTACATTGTAAATTGCGTATCAGTACCAACAACCATTTTCCAGTTAGCGAAGTCCTCAATAGGACACCCTCTGAGCACCTCCTTTGCCGCCTCTTTGTTATGCATGTCATACATCCGGCAAACTGGCAAACCCAAGGTCGCAGGTGTATGCATGCCTTTCCAATCAACCAAAAGCGGCCAAGTGGAAACAGCGCGCTCCTGGGCACTGCCTTGATGCGCCGCTCAGCCCCGGATGCCGAGACGTGTGCCACGGCGCGTTGGAGGCGACCGATGCCCGAGCCGAAAGGCTCAGGGCATGTCGCCTGGCTGAGCGCGATGCGTGCTGAAACCACAACGCAGTCAAACGAATGTCGCCGAAAATACATGGCCATGCCCGGTGCCCCTCTCCCCCTTTAGGCAAACCACGCACAAAGGGCAACATCTCGTGTGCGCTTGAGCGTGTCAACAGCAGTACATCCGCAGCAGACATCTTCACAAAAGCACGATGCTCAGCAACATGGCATAGGCAGTTGGTCCTGCCCAGTTGCTCAATTCATTGTGTGACTCCGTTTTATTGCAAGAAGGCCATCTTTCCCGAATCAACAGCTCTATGGAGATATCACAAACAAAGAGGTCACATTTGCATCTTGTCCTTTCTCCGGCCTTCGTCTGGCTCTCCGGTGTGCTGCCCATTCCCCTTCAACTGTCATCCCACCAAAATGAACCGCGCTTTACATTGGCCCAGGCGGCGGTTCAAAGCAAAAAAATGTCACAGAGCCGAAACAGCTGCGAAGGCGGAAGTAGCTTCCAGGAAATCAGCACGTCCTTCGGTACGGGCGGTTTTGGAGCCGGCAGCGTGAGCAGGTCATTGATGGACCTCACGCTCAGGTCGCAGGCTTTCTGAGCTTCTGCCTACACCTGCACTGTGCCTCACGCCTTGCCTACGTGCGCAAATGAAACACGTGCATGCAGCCCGGTACCCTCTTTAGGCATCAGGGGACGTGAGTCCGCAAAGTGGATGAATAGCTTTGCTCACAGCGTTTCAAAACGTGATGGGCTACAGAATAAATCGCCCTGTCTACGAAGTGTTGCGCTATCCAGATTCTATTTTGCGTGTTGGCGACGCTGCGGGTCATGTTTCGGACCATGGACAACTAAGCTACTATGACCGTCCCATGGTCCCCTGCAGCGCTAAATCAACTCAGCGATCGCTTAACAAGGGCCAGTGACATCCAAGCCCTGAGTGATCGAGGAAACCAATATATATATATATATATACATACATACATATGCATATATGTATGCGTTTGTATATATTATATATATGTATATATTTATATACACATACATACATGTATATTTTACACTAAACACCCCGGACGCATCTAGCACATTTTCTCGCTTCGCGCCCAGCGCGGTGCTTTGGAGTTCTGCCAACAGCGGCGCCAGCGAGGCCGCCGGCGCGGCTATAGCAGCGCTGCCGCACACGAGACCGTCGCGAGGGGCGATCTGCTGGAAGACAAGGGCACGCTGCCACTGGCCGCCTGAAATGACACCAAACTCCCAACATGTGGGCATGTCCAAACTCCCAATTCTGGGTCATGTTGCTTTAAGTTTTGCTTAGTTAGCCCATCTACGTATTCTTGCCACGGCCCTGATGCCTACCAGATTTGCAAAGATACCCAAGGAATCTGGTGCTGATTGTAAGTATCATTGGTTTGCAAGAAGAGGCATCACTTTCCCAATGTGAGCAATCACGCCCAAAAGAGTCAACACTCAAACTCGGACAAAGTCGTCAAATCACATGGCAGCGTTTGCTGCTGCAATCTCTTAGGCGCCAGTTGTGAATAAGTTCAAATGTGCACGACTGAGATTCCAATTGAGCAATAACACCGGATTCCAACATGCATATAACTATGACTTGCCCTCAACAAGTACCAGGCCTGAGGTGCCAAAATGTAAAACCTCACGCACAAATTCATGTGAGAGTCAACCATCCGTCGATTCCCCGCCTCGTTCCAGGGCCCTGGCTACTGCACCGTAGGTGACCCGGCTAGGTTTCAACTGCTGTCGGGGGAGGTCTGCAAAGATCTGCAGCGCCTGAGGGGAGCGATGAATGCAAGGGACTTTTGGGGTTCCTGTTGGTTTGCCTCGAAACGGCAACTAATCAACAGGGGGTCCATAGTAATTGAAACCCCCACATTGATTCAAATTGGCTTTGGAACCGTTTCGAAATACCAATGTGTAATCTGTCTTCATCTGTTTTCGCTTGATGCGCACAATTCAAAGGTGCTTCGAGAGTATCAGGCCTCGAAGGCGTAGCGAATGCATTCTATGACGGCGCTGTCAAATATACTTTCCATTGTTTGTTTCACTTCTGGTCGCCAGTAAAATATAACATCTATCCTTCAGGCTCGGGTTTGCTTGCCTCGGTCCAGCGGCTAGAGGAGGAGCATGTGGTAATGACTGTGTTGAAGAGGACGACATCACCCTGCTGCCGAGAGGTCCTTCAAACTTGGTTGCTCCAAACACGGAATGCGAGCAGAACTTTGGCTTCGTATTTTTGTCGCTGATGTTCTACCCTTATTTGCTCTTTTGGATTGGAGCCTCTGCCAAAGGTTGGCCTTAGGAATTAGAGAAGCTGGGCAGATCATGGAGAAACCCCGCCATTTCCTGTACTCCCTGTTAGCCAACCACTTACGAAGGGCCCCCGGAAGGATTGAGAATTGCCTTCAACAGCGCAAAGTTGAAAAACTCGCGGATCACCCGGCTCCTTTTTCTGAGGGTGCCAAACACATGCTCAGAAAAAAGGTCGAGCCTTGCCAGGGTGAGTGGAACTCATGACCGCCCTAAAACAAATCTTGAAGCACTGCACATCCTGAGGTCCTGGGTCAAGTCTCCCAAGGGATTTGACAGCGAGCCTTCTGTGTCTTAGCCAGCGGCTCCTGCCCTCCTATACCCGCATGTAGCGTACTTGTCGAAATCGTAACACCTTTGTGGTGTACACCAAGGCGTGCGAATTGCCCATTTCAGCCCCGGACACCGGCCATACAAATCCAAGGAGTGCTATCAATCTGCCCAAGCTCTTGGCAACTAAACCAGATCATACTACGGAGCGTGTGTGCTCTATGTGGTTAGCATGACTTGTGTAGCATGCCTACAGAGCGCAGCGGCCCACCGCTTAACTAGTCTGATTTAGCACTTTGCATGACCTCAGGTCTGGCTTCCTCAAACAAAAATGCCCTTTGACCGTGGGTTAACATCTTCCGGCAAGTCACTCGGTCGGCTCTCCTGAATTCATCGAGCAGCTGCAGCGCCATGGGCCAACGCTGGCCCTGTGGGGCACCCATGAGCCACGTGAGCATAAGAGATCGCCAGGAAGGTTCCATAATCTTCCGGGGAAAAATACTTAAACATAAAGCAAGTTGTCTGTTACGTGCTTGACTGGAGAGCCACCTTCAAACGACCATTTGTCAACACCTCACACCTCGAAACAGTCGTGGGGTCAAACGTCTTGAAGGGACGTCCACATCTGGTTGAGCTCATAATTAGATGGGACTATGGTAGTAGTTACCAACCCCGTGCCCCACAAACAAAGGCAACACATAAACGGAACAAAGTGGGGCTGGCTCCCAACACACATGGGTAAAACGACTGGAGCATATATTTCAGCGTTTGATATCCGACACTTGCAAGGCTGGCGCCTACTCACAGCGTTTGACTCAACATGCTAACCATATTTAGAAAACCTCAACATGCCAAGTCATGTTATTCCTCTGATGCAGACTGATTTCATTTACGAGGCTCCGGAAATCCCCCCCACCCACCCATCCGTCCGGCCACATAGACGGTCCGTGGGACACCAGCTGGCAAGGTTAAACTCTCGCAGCTGAGCTCCAGATCTCCAGGTTTACTCGTGACCCCTGGGTTATTGCCATTGACCAAACTCCCATCACTCCTTTCCCTGTTCGGTAAACCACCGGGAAAAGCCATTGAGTCACCTTGCTGGTGCGATAAGCAGTGAATGGAACAAAAGAACCGTTTTGGGATTTTGGAGGAAACCAAATAGGTGATGGTTTATCTCGGGGTCATTTCGCAGCAGCAAGTCACCAAGTCACCCTGAGACTTTGGAGGAAACCAAATAGACTCTCCTTCCCTGCCGATTTCGCCCCAGAAAGTCACCCCCCTCGTATTCCCCCCGGTCCCTCCTCACAGGCGCCCAGCGCCGCCGTGCACGCTGCCGCGTTTGCGGCCGTCCGCAGCTCCGCGAAGAGGCGGAGGGCGACGGCAGCTTGGCGCGCGCGGGCACAGCAGCTGACCACCGAGCTGCAGGTGAAGGCGTCAAAAGTCAAGGCCAGGTCCTGGCATTTGCTTTGCTTTACTGTCTCTTTTTGCGTGTGTGAAGAAGTTGGGGCAGTTTTGGCCCTGAACCTCTTAAAAAGTTCAAGGTTCACCAATAACCCAGGAGAGTTGGAATATGGATATTGATAAGGTGGATTTGCCATGCGAGCAATCCATGTCATTCAACGCAATGGAGCACGTGACGGCCACAATCTAAAGTTCTCTCTGTTGCTACGTCCGGTGAAACATTTCGCGAGATCCCTCAGGGATTCAGATTGCTTCCAAGCTGCTCAGCAGCTTCAACATCCTCCACAAGTTTTGGGGCATAGCTCCACGAATTCCGCAGCCACGCACCAGCCAGCTGCCAAACCATCTGCACAGCTTGCAACAGGGCCGATGGGTGCGAAGGGTAGATCTTTACATTCGCAAAATGCCGGACACCCTGCAGGTGCCTGCGATGGGTCTGTCAGATTGGTGCAGCCACAAGTCGCGGGACACAAGCGCGCCAGAGGAGCAAAAAGCTCCTCGTTGCCACCGCACCATGAGCGAGCCGACACCACTTCGTTCTGCAGCCCGTTCCAGGACAAGGCAACGCAGCCATAAGATTTCATGGCATCAATCATTTGATACACACCTACAGCCAACGTGGAGTTGTCAGCGGAATCCAAAGTTTGCCCAAGTTCGGCTCCAAGCACAGTGGGATAAAGATCCCAGAACTGATCCCATGCAGGAAGATTGACCTGATTTGTGCATTCGCCTTTTTGATCTGCTTCCTCAAGGCATGGGACAGGGCAGCCCTTCGCAGGAACTTTGAACCAAGGATTGCTCCTTGAGTTGATGCAGCATGTTCGTCCGCAAACCAATCGAAGCAACTGCGAGTCCTCATCATCACACCTGTGCAGCGCATCTGCGCATGAACTGTTGCTGGGAAGGCCGAGCCCAAGTATAGCTGCTCTATAGAAAGGCAAGAAGTAACTCGCCTGCGATGCATAGTCGCTGTCAGCGCTGAAAGACTGATCGACATCAGCACACCAAGCGTTCTCCGACGCTGCCGCCGTTGTCGTCTGTGTCCGATAGCTCTCAAAGCGCCGGGGATCCGTGTGGAAAGCGATGTACTTTGCCTCGCCATCCTGAAAAAGGTAGTCACCGATCGCCAATTGAACTAGCGTCTGCTCGGCGCTGCTGTTGAATGGAACCGACTTGAAGCCAAAGGGCATCTTCTGATCTTCATTGAGCCCAACCACAAAGTCCTGATTGCCTCCACAGTGGGCATGCTTCACAGCCTCCATTGTCTCTCCCAGGGGACCTACGATGGTAAACCAGGGCCATGCCAGAAGTGCGCCCACAATAAGGATGATGCAAACAGATTCCATCTGACTGCGGAGGCGACTGTATTGCACCTTAATCGCCTCAAGGTCCTGCACTTTCAGCTGAAGCTTCTTGGGCATCATGGCTGAGAAGATGATCGCGTCCACATCCAAAATCGCCCCCAGGGCCACCGCGTTCAAGATGAGATCAGTAATGGACGTAGTGCTCCCAAGCCACAAGACCCCCGCGTAGAGCAGGATCCCGGCAATGCAGGCACGAAGTAGGCGAAGCACACAGTATGCCCCGAACCGTCCGTATGAAATGACTTCGAACCGGGCCCCCTGAAACTTGGTCCGTGCTGATCTTGGGATCTGTGCCACGGCCTCCAAGGAGAGGAAAATGGTACGAAACTCATTGCAGATATAGAGGCACCACAGCAAGATGCAAAGCATTGCCAGCAGAATCCCGGGACGAAATCTGGTGGCTTCATTCTCATCATCTTCCAGATTTAGAAAACTGTTGATACGGTGCACGAGGTCCGCCTGCTCGGTGGAAATGATCAACGAGCCATCTCCATTGCAAACACGAGACGTCAGGCTTGTCTGCGCAAAGTCCAAATATGTGTGATCATGAGCCACACTTCGTCGCCAACTGAGGGCTGTCTCGACTTGGGTTTGGTCGAAGGGTTCCCCAAGAAACGACTCGCTCGTAAGGATCCAACTAAAGGTAATCTGCATGCCTGCACTCGCAGCAAGCAGAAGCCACGCAACAATCACATCAATCCAACCCACGCTTGAATGACCCAATACCAGAACCAGGTTCCAGGTGGTTTCTAAGAAAGCCACAGGCTCCATAGCATCTTCATGTGTTTTTTGGTCATGCGCATCGTCTTCAGGCTCTGGAGACACGACATCCCCGTGCAGCTTCTTGATCTGCGGGGGGTCGTGCGAATCCTCGAGATTCAGCATTCGGAGGTCGCGGCTGCTGCCGCCTTCCAAGATCTTCAGCCTTTCTCGCAGCGGCTGAAGAGCTTTCTCCAGTTCCAACCGGAACTCTTCTCGCATCTTCCGCTCCAAGTTGGCAATGTTCTTTTCAAGCTTCGACGCCGACATGCTGAGAACCAACAAATTTGTCAATCAGATTTCGAGAAAAATGGCATGTGCTGGAGCCCAACATTGGCGGCAAGTGCAGGCCTTCCGTCAGGATAATTACTGAGGAAAGAGCATCAACCGTCATCCCTATTCGGTCGTTATGTTGACAAGTGTCAGGAAGAACCGAAAAGGGGCTGAAGCTGCCTCGTTCTGTTTGCTTCCGCAAATAGCAGTATGAAATGCAAGACGCTTCGTGGTCAAAGGAGCTGAGGTTACTCTGCCATGCACCTACATGGAATCTGACCGGGGTGGCTCTGGGGCAAACCAAACATCACCCTGCAAGAAAACATCTGTTCAAAATATGGCCTTACGTTTAAGCTCCCATCTGGGGCTTCACTATTTAGTGTCCTTTGGGAACAACAACATGGAATTCATGATGTAAAACCCGACTGCAAACAGTCACAGTCTGCTTCCCTCAATTTTCAACCCGACCAAAGGACCCAAAAAACACTTTGACCCGTGTCTCCCTCTCTGGCGCCTGCAAATCTTTGAGCAGCGCCAGAGCGGTCGGCCACTGGGCCGCTTTCTCGCAGGAGCTGAGACAGGCGTTGTAGACCCACGTCGTTGGGCGCAAGCACGTCCTCGAGCGCAGTGAAACTCCAAACAGGGGTACCTCCGAAAGCGACTCCTCTAATGCGGCTTCGTTCTTCCATGTGCATTCTCAGGAGAGTAGCTAGTTAATGAGTGAGCTAGCTAGCTAGCTAGGTAGTCAGTGAGGTTGTGTCCGATGGCTTGCTTTCCAACACCACCGCGTGTGCGTGTGTGTGTGTTGCTTGGGTTAGTGCCCGTTTTGAGAATTGTGCTAAAGGAAACCAAAGGGACACCTGCCCCCAGATTGGCAGGTTCGCCATTTGATGACAAACCGATCAACAATCAATCATATGAATAATATGTATAATATTATATATATATACAAGCAACTCCCTGGTTTTGGGGACTTATGCTTGTGGACAAAGCGGCATCTGATCTTCGCTCGTCCGAAACCTGAATCTGCTGCTGCAATCTGAGGAGTCTCGTTGACATATTTAGTGTTTGACTCACACACGGCATGCCGTCAGCCAAGCAAGCATGGCAACCTCTCCTCACCGGCCACAACAGCATGCTGAGACTGAGATGGCTTGACTTGTCTGACCACGTCTCATAATCTTCCAGTACAAGGTCATGGAGTCCTCTGCTAGCTTTGCCCATAATGGCACGTGCTGCTTGCTGTTAGGGAAACGCTTCAGTGAAACTGCAGGCTGAACCTGATGGTAGCCTCTGCTCATCGCTTCCTGATTCCTGTTGCTCGATTCCCTTCTAACACTATGTATGATCCAACAACATGCAACACCGTTTTTTTGGCCTCCAGACCATTAAATGCCAAGATCCAGATTCTTCCAAGGATCTCTTTGTGGCTTCGCTGCTACACCAAAAGCACACGTGCGTTTTCAGAAGCACAAACAAACGCAGTGGTTTGTCTCCAAACAGGGGATGTTCCAAATGTTGGTTTTCGCTTGGCTTCCTTTCACACAACCCCGAAACGGGGCGCCCTCAAATCAAGGTTGGCTCGACACATCTGTTCAAACTGTTTAAACGAGTCGCAAGTTTAAACAACTCGTTTAAACAGGTGTTGCTTAAACGTGCCCGCTCGGCACCTTGACCCTGCAACTCGGAATGGGCAACTGTTCTGGAAACAGATTGAATGTGGTTGATCAATTGTATTTTGCGGAGCCCCCCATCCAAAAAAGCCCACCTAACTGGCCGCGGCTGCTAAAAGGATCCCTTCCCCATGCGTTCCAGGCCTCTGTGGCACCCTTGCGAACCAGTGAAGGCATTCAATTGCATGGCCCAACTGCGCACATGTTTAAACGTTTGAAGAAATAAACAATGCGCCTGCTTAAACATGTATCTACACATGTAAATATATATATATATATACATATGTGTTATGTATATATTATATGTGTTATTGTTATTGTTATTGTTATTGTTATTAGTATTATTATTATTATTGTTATTATTACTATTATTATTAGTATTATTATTATCATCATTATTATTATCATTATTCATTATTGTTATTATCACATCACTATTATTACTATTATTACTATCTAATTATTATTACTGTAATAATAATTATTATTATCAATATGTATTACTATAAATGTAAAGCTTAAACAGCTGATCGCTTAAACATGCTTGCGCCAACCCTGTCTCAAACAAAGGGGCACCCACACTGGAATATATGTCCAACAATATCGGACCCCTTGCGCAAAGTTCAAACAGGTTCTGGGGGGGCTCTCCATATTCGGGCTTCCTGCGGGTGTGAATCCCCTCAGAATTAAACGCCTTCGGGTTTGAGCCATTTCGCCTCCGGGCCGGGAGGTCTCAAAAATGCAAGAGAACTTCCGGCTTCCCAAAAACCACTTCTCCCTTTTCAGAAAAAAAACACGCAAAAACTAGCCATGCCAAAACGGCCACTGGTGTCCCCAAATGGCACTCGGGTTTCACCAGAGCTTCGAAGCAAGCAGCAGCGCCTGCTCCCACTGTGCGCCACAGCACGCTATGGCTGCCTTACCCGTAAACAATTTTGTTTGTTGATGTCCCGGCATGAAAAAAAGGCAAAACGTCATTCCTAGAACCCCTAAATAACAAACCCAACAACATGAACATAACCCCAAAAACTAAGCAACTGAACATGAGCCAAACAAAAAACAGAAACAGCAACACCATACCAAGAACTGAAACCGCAGCCGCTGTGTAGCTGGCGCTGTCGGCGATTCTTTGCGCTTGGAGGTGGCGCAGTAAGGCCAAAACGGTGTCCAGCTGGTTGCTGAGCTCAAGCCTGACCCGAGCGGACAAGGGACAAATGTGCTAACTTTGAACTGAGTGGGTTCTAGAGCTTGTTTTGATGTGACCATGGGTCAAAAGCCCGTACCCCCAGTGAACATCCCAATCCCCGCACTAAAATAGTCTAAAATGTGTGGACAGCCATGTGGTGAAGGCTTGTTTTCAAGAGTTTCAGGTTTAGTGGGAAACCCCGCCAAAAGCCCTTTGAATCGTGCCACTGAACAACTGGGCAGGGGCTTGTTTGCTCAAAAGCCAGGGTTGTTGCTCCCCAGAAGGAAGCCCCTCTACCCTGGGCTACAGCCTTTAAGGTTTCAATTGCCACAGAGAGAACTCCATAACATTGACATGGTTAGAGCCCCAAAAAGACCGCACCAAAGGTGATGTTTCAATCCGACACATTGCAAACGTAGGGAACCCTCGCTACAGCAAAAGAGGCGAAAGGGCTATGTCTTAAACATAGCCCAAAGGTGGTCTCACTTGGGCTGGTTTGAGCCAATGAGGGTACCAGGGTGTTTCTTGCAACACAAACACACCCGGCCACCCTGAAGAAGAGTGTAGTCCAGCTCATATCGGTGCAGCCAACCGGACAACCCGCTTTGCACAGAGGCAAGAAAACAAGTTGAACAATGGCTAGCTAGCCCCAGAATCATGTGGGCGGGCCTAGGGCCTATCTGCTCTCCGTTCCTTTGCCTTCTGGCTCCCCTGAGTCTCAGTTTGGGGAGTGATTGGCGCCAGGGCGATTGTCGCTGGTTCTCAGCCAAGCCTATCAAGCCTTGTGTGCTTGGCAAAGCCTCCCAACAGGAAGGATCCCAAAGACGCGAAGTTTGACCGGGGACCATCCCCAATAAGCCGTGCTAGGTTTCTTGTTGAACCGGCCTTAGCGCCTTCGGTTTGCGGTCGTTGGGTCTGAGTGCCTCCTGCCCAAAGAGGAAATTGTCGTGAAGCCAGGGCTGTTCAAAGGCAAACCCCGTGGTTTCTGATGGCGATGGAGGACATGGGAAAATTAGTGGGCCCCTGGCTTTTGCGTGGGACATTTAGAAAACCCCCTAGGCTCTCCCAGATAAACCACTTCATATCACAGCCGTAGGAGCGCAGCGAGGGCGGAGTTGTAAACCACCAAGTCCCTTTGCAGCTCCTTCTGCGCCATCTCATAGAAGAGCTCCAAAGCCACAGCCCACCGCTCTTTGCCTGAGATCCACTGTCTCCCGTTGGATTAGCTCGTTGGATGCTTTTTGCTGTCTTTTGGCGCTTTGGGCCTGCGGCCCTGCGCAAATTGCAATAATTTGCAAGCTGGGTATAAGGACTTGCCACGTTGTACCATCACCCCGCAGAGGGCCCTGAGCCCTATTTCCGACACGCGCACACACACACACCCACCCACCCACCCACCCACCCACCCACCCACCCACCCACCACCCCACCCACCCACCCACCCACCCACCCACCCACCCACCCACCCACCCACCCACACCCACCCACCCACCCACCCACCCACCCGCCCGCCCACCCGCCCGCCCGCCCGCCCGCACGCACGCCCGCCCGCGCGCGCGCGCACGCACGCACGCACGCACGCAGACGCAAACGCCGACGCACAGGCGCACAGGCACACCGGCACACCGGCACACCGGCACACCGGCACACCGGCACACCGGCACACCGGCACACCGGCACACCGACACACCGACACACCGACACACCGACACACACCGACACACCGACACACCGACACACCGACACACCGACACACCGACACACACACACAGACACACAAACAGACACACACACAGACACACACACACACAGACACACAAACAGACACACAAACAGACACACAAACAGACACACAAACAGACACACAAACAGACACACAAACAGACACACAAACAGACACACAAACAGACACACAAACAGACACACAAACAGACACACAAACAGACACACAAACACACACACACAGAGACGCGCAGGCACACACACAAACACCGACACAGAGACACAGAGACAGAGAGACACAGAGACAGAGAGACAGAGAGACACAGACACACAGACACACACAGACAGACAGACACAGAGACACACGGAGACACACAGAGACACACAGAGACTGACACAGAGACACACGCAGACACACAGAGACACACAGGACACACAGAGACACACAGACACAGAGACACACAGAGACTCGTAGAGACACACAGAGACACACACACAGACACACACAGACACACAGAGAAAACCCGGACACACACAGAGACGCACAGAGACACACGGAGACACACAGAGACACACAGAGACACACGGAGACACACGGAGACACACAGAGACACACAGAGGCACACAGAAACACACAGAGACACACAGAGACACACAGAGACAAACAGAGACTCACAGAGACACACAGAGACACACAAAGACACACAGAGGCACACAGAGACACACAGAGAAACAGAGAGACACACAGAGACACAGAGAGACACACAGAGACACACAGAGACACACAGAGACACACAGAGACACACAGAGACACACAGAGACACACAGAGACACACAGACACACACAGACACACACAGACACACAGAGACACGCAGACACACAGACACACACACAGACACACACAGACACACACAGACACACAGACACACAGACACACAGACACAGACACACAGACACACAGACACACAGACACACACAAACACACAAACACACAAACCACAAACACACAAAAACACACAAAAAAACCCACCCACCAACCCACCCACCCACCCACCCACCCACCCAACCACCCAACCCACCCACCCACCCACACCACCCACCCACCCCACCCACCCACCCACCCACCCACCCCACCCACCCACCCACCCACCCACCCACCCACCACCCACCACCCACCCACCCACCCACCCACCCACCCACCCACCCACCCGCCCCCCCCCCCGCCGCCCCCCTCCGTGGTTGGGAAGATTGCACCAAATGTGGCGCGCGCGTGCGTGGCGTGTAAGAAACGAGATCTCTTTAAATGAAAGAGATCAATTTAGTGAATGAAGCACAAACGCATCCTCTGTTTTGTTTCGATGCAAGAAGTGTACATCTGCATGTTTTCTTTTTTCCGTTGCTTATGATAGTTAACGTTTCCTAATTTACGAGATACATCACTGGCGTAGCATTACGCTTTGTAACAAAATCAATCTAGTAGAAAAGAATAACCGACATGGAATGGAGCGAAATGAAAAGGAAACAGTCACGAAATAGAAACGTCATGGAACAAACAATATTTGGAACACATGAAAGCTAATGGAAGCACAGTTGCAAATGTAATAACAAGAAATAGCAATGGAAACAAGGCATGACAAGGAATTGGACAGAAATGGAAAGGACGTGAAAAAGAAAGGAGTGGACATTGCGAAACGAGCACTTTCTCGGCCCGGTCTTGGCCTTGGGCACCTCTAGCTAGGAATGGAAAGCAATAGAACGCAATGGGAAGGAAGGGATGGACAGGAATGGACAGGAATGGACAAGACAGGGAGAGAAAGTCACAGAGGAAATAGGAAGGAAATATAAGCAAAGGAATAGAATATAAATTTAATCAAAATACATATGGAAAGGAATGAAACACATATGGAACGGAAAGGACATGAAACTGAATCTTAAAGAAATGGAAAGGAACCACGCCGCTTCAAAATTATTGACATGGACACTTGCGAAAGGAGCATTTTTTCGGCCCGGGCTGGTCTTTCTTGGGCACTTCTAGCTAGGAATGGAAAGGAATGAAAATAAATGAGTGGAAAGAAAGATGGACAGGATTGAGCCGGATATGGAAGGAACGCAAAGGACATGAAAAGGAATTTCAAAGAAATGAAATTGACACCTGCTGCTTCACCATTATTGACATCTGGGCTGTGCTTTGTATTGTGCTTTTGTGCCTTGGGTTTTGGCTGTAATTTCTTTCGGAAGTTTGAGGCTGAACTTGGTGCAATTTTCCGACGGCTGGTGTTTCTGCTGCATTTTGAAGCTAAATTTTTGAAGGTTACCTGAGCGCATTGTCCACACCGCGCCATGCCATTGTTTGAGCATATCTTTGTTCAGCAAGTAAAAGGCAAAGCCGTAAATCATTTGCCATGAATCTGTAAACGAACTAAGCATGACACACATAATGCGCACGCTGCAAAACAGGGGTTTTGAAATACAGCTATGTCGCTTTCAAAACAAAACGCCGCAAAAAGCTAAAAACTAGCGCCCACGTGTTTTCCAGAAGGCCTGCTTGATTTGTTTGGGCGACGGAAAGGCAGAGCCATTGTTGCCTGCCCCAATGTCACTGACAATTGCAAAACGGGCACTTTTTCGGCCCGGGCTGGCCCTGGGTACTTCTTCTAGCTATGAATGAAGGGGAATGGAAAGGAGTGGAAAGGAGTGGAAAGGAGTGGAAAGGAATAGAAATAAAGGGAAAGAGAAGCAAAGAAATGGAAAGAAATAGCAAGAAAGTGCAAAGAACATGGAAACATAAAGGAATGGAACCGGTCATGTTTTCCACTTTTTTTAAAAAAAATAAATAAATAAATAAATAAACGGGAATGGAAAAGAAAGAGCAGGGAGGAAAGTCGTTGAAAAGGAAATGGAAACAAATAGAGAAATGAAATAGACAAGAAACGGAGATGGAAAAGTGTCCAAGGCCAGCCCGGGCCAAAGGTCTAGCCCATGTCCCAGTATTGTCCTATCCTAACTCATTCCTATCTCACCGCCGTGATTATTAAGGGTTTAGGCGGGCCCCGTTTCAGCAAAGAAATGGGTTTGTATCTTCTTAGGGTGGCCGGCAGGAAGGTTTGAGTACGAGGTATGATTCGCAGGTATGATTCGCGGGTATGATTCGGGGTATGATTCGGGGGTATGATTCGCGGAAGCAGCAGCAGCAGCAGTAGTAGGAGTGGCAGTAGTCGCCGAAGTAGTAGTACTAGTGGTAATATTGTAGTAGTAACAGTAGTAGTAGTAGTAGTAGTAGTAGTAGTAGTAGTAGTAGTAGTAGTAGCAACAGTAGAAGCAGCGACTGTAGTGGCGCGGAAGCTTTGAAAAGACTTGGCGCTGGCCTTGGCAAGGCAAGTTCATTGCGCGGGTATGATTCGGGTATGATTCGCGGGTATGATTCGGCTAGGTGCAAAACGGCACTGATTACAAACTCGTAGTAGCTGTGGTCGTAGTAGTAGTAGTAGCAGTAGCAGTGGTAGTAGTAGTAGTAGTAGCAGTTGCAGAAGTAGTGGTAGCAGCAGCAGCGGCTGTAGTGGTGCGGACGCTGTGAAAAAGACTTAGCACTAGCCTTGGCAGGGGAAGCTCATTGTCCGGGTATGATTCGGGTATGATTCGCGGGTATGATTTGGCTAGGTGCAAAACGGCACTGATTACAGACTCAGAATGATGTATGTGGTAGTAGTAGTAGTAGTAGTAGTAGTAGTAGTAGTAGTAGTAGTAGTAGTAGTAGTCAAGGTTGCAGTAGTAGTAATAAAGGTAGTAGTCATAGTAGTAGTAGGAGTAGTAGTCAAGGTTGTAGTCGTAGTAGTTAGTAGTAAGGGTAGCAGAAGCAGAAGTAGAAGCAGTAGAGTAGTAGTAGCAGCGGTAGTAGCGGTGGTAAGTGGTAGTAATACTCGTAGTCGCGGTAGTAGCAGTAGTAGTAGTAGTAGTAGTAGTAGTAGTAGTAGTAGTAGTAGTAGTAGTAGTAGTAGTAGTAGTGTAGTAGTACTAGAAGTAGTAGTAGTAGTGGTAGTAGCAGTAGTAGTAGTAATTGGAGTAGTAGTAGTAGTAGTGGTGGTAGTAGTAGTAGTGGCAGTGGCAGTGGTAGTGGTAGTATTGGGTAGCGCTGGTGGTGGTTGTTGTGGAGACAGTGAACAACACAAAACGGTAGAAGAACAGTAGCATACGTTTTAAGGGGTATGATTCGGGGGTATGATTCGGGGTATGATTTGGGGGTATGATTCGGGGGTATGATTTGGGGAGGTCCCACCTTCTGCCTTTTTGAAGCAACTCAACACATCAAAAAAGGACAAACAGAAATGGCTTCTTGAACACAAGAGTACTCAACGCTACCCCCCCCTCCCTCTCCGGCAGTTTTTAACATTTTTTCGAAGGCGTGTTGGCGCACAGTTTGCAGCTTTAGGAAACTTAGGGCGTTTTCTTGAGTGCGGTCAGAAAGGGCTTTACGGCT